AATCATGAAGGTCCCTTCAACTCCGAAGCAGGCTGGGTCCCCAGGGACCCCCCCCAGGAGCAGGGGTGCCCAGGCACTCACCGGGCTGCCCGGGCTGCCTTCTTGCTCTCCAGGCTGACGGGGACGTTGAAGCGCTCGGCGCGTTTCTGCATCCGCTGCGGGAGGGAGGGAAGGGGCTGGGAGGGGGGAACCCACCCCGGAGGGGGGGGGCAGCTCCAGCAGCCTCTTGGGAGCAGCTGGAAGGGGGAAACAGCCCCCAGGGAAAGGGAGGAGATGCTGCAGGGACCAGAGCTCCCTAAAAACGGAAACCTGGATAAAAAACGTGTCCCTGCTCCGGGAACGTTCCCAGGAAAGGTGCCCATGGAGAGGGACAGGGAACTGTCCCAGGGTGACAGGAGGCTGTGCTGGGGCCGGGGGGGACAAGGCAGGGACAGCACAGAGTCCCTTCCCAGGGGCTGGAAGGGCACAAGTGGCTCCAACTGATCCGCAGGGAAAAGCGCCAGGATCTCCCAGAAGGGAACTGGGGGGGAATTTGCTTCCTGGGAACTGATTTGGCACCAAGCAAATTAATTAGTCTGTTGCTGGTGGTGACTGGGGACAAACTGGGGCTGCATTGAGAGGCCTCAGCCCCTGCTCCCAGCCCAGGAAGGCTGGGAATGCTGGGAAGCTCCAAGTGTTAAATCTCCTTAAGAGCTTAAGAGAAATATTTAACATTTTCTTCTTGCACAAGGGCCCAGAAACGTGTTTGGTGCTTGAGGGGTTAGAGAAACACCTCCCACTGGAAGGGAAACATTGACTTTAGCCCAGGGCACCGTGAGGAGCCTCACAAACACCTGCAGGAGCCTGGAATGTTTGGGAAGGATGGAGGAGGAACTGGGGGGGCTCCAGGGGGGGCTGGGCCTGAGGAGCCTCCAGAGGAAAAGGCATCGCTGGGGCCTGGGGCTGTTCCCTCATCCTGGGAAGAACATCCCAAGGGGTTCCTGAGCCCCAGGGAGCAGAGCTGAGATCCCTGGGTTCGGATCCCTTGATATTCCTCCCATTTTCATGTTCAGATGGGGAAAATCACCCCCTCCCCCCCCCCCCCAGAACCACCTGTGACACCGTTTTGCCAAGTCCTGACCCACCCTCCCACAGCTGCGGGGTCTGGGTGCAATCAGGAGGGTGAGGCCCTTAATGAGCCCCTTAATGAGCTCTGTAACGAGCCGGGGGGGGGGGGGACACACGGGCACCCCCTGCCCCCA